GATGAAAAAGATCATACAACAAAATAATCACGGTGCTCTAATTTTTGGAAGTGGTGCCTCTCTCAGTAGGACTGAATAGAGGTAAATAATCACTTCCATCTCTCTGCTGGTAACACTCTTACTAATGCAGCCCAGTATGCCATTAGCCTTCTTCACAACAAGAGCATGCTGACAGGTCCATCAGCCCAAATCCTCTGTCTCCAAACTTCAAGGATCCAGACTTACCACCAGATTAGTGCCTCACTTCAGAAAGCAGGGACACTGCATAGCAACTCACCCTTACGTTTTCTAAATTTAATTTGTTCTGCCTCTCCGTGAATATATTCCATGCTTCATTCATGTCTGCATCTGCCTGTTTATTTCCCTGTCCACTCACGTATTTTCTTTCTCACATTCACAGATGGAGATCACTTATTCATTTGTGCTGCTCTTTACATAGGATGCTTTTCTTTGTCCATCCCATTGAATTGCTTTCCCACTTCAAATTGTACCTTAAATCTATTGCTTGTAAGTAATGAAGTTTAGCTTTATCAGAAACTATGTTGCAGTGTCACAAGTGGAGAATACTGCATGCTACTATAGTACTGCATTACCATGTAATTAAACTTATTATGGTAACCCATAGCTACTTTAATTTCAGCACTGTAGCAAACCCTTGTTAAATGGACAGGGCCATTGTATAGAGTTATACTGGATGGACAGAGCCACCTAAAATTGTAATTTAATTTTTACTAGGGGTTATGTATTCCTGGAGAAATGTTTCTTGATTGGGGAATGCTGCTGAATAGCTTTCCATGATGGCGCTTAGTGGATGAAATCCCTCCCCCAGTACTGTAGTGACTCAAATCCAAAACTAGGCTTTTTCCCTGTTCAGCATGGGGGAAAAGCCCTTTGCCTTGAATTTGAGTACAAGGTGGCGAGGGGGGCAGGCAGCTGCTGCAGTTCTGACTCTGATCCTGAGTCTGAGTTAGAGATGGAGTCAGAGCTATAGGACCTGCCTGCTCCCCCAACCCCCGCTTGCCTATTGAAGCATCTGCCACCTCACCTGCTCCTTAAGGACTCTGCCTTCCCCCCACTTACTGTCAGGCACAGCTCTGGCTCTGTTCCCCCATGGGAATGGAGCACATGGAAGTTCTGGCCCCAGGACACTGCTGTGTGGCTAGGCAGGAGCTGGAGCTTCCGTGTGCTCCATGCCTGGGAGGGAATGGAGCTGGAACAGTGCCTAATGGGATGCGGGGGCCAGAGGCTATGGGGAGCAAGTGGGAGGCAGAGGCTGCAGGAGGGCAGAGACTGTTGGGAGTAGGTGGTAGGGGGCTCAGGTTACAGGGGCAAAGCCACTGCCAGGGGGGCAGGCTGCAGGGAAAAGTGGGGTGGGGACAGGACTGGCTGCCCCCCCCTCCCCCCCCCCTTGCATACCCCATTGACGCTGATTTTCCTGCTGCAGTGTGGGGAGGAGGGGGAGCGGGTATAAATTTAAGACAGCCCTCTGATAATTAGTTTCTATAAATGGAAGATTTTAACAAATTTAAAACTCCCATATCTACAGTCTAATTATTGCTGGGGGAGAGGGGGTGTCTTCAATTTTAGATTGTCTTGTTTTTGAGGTAAATGCAGTATTTCCTTTATGTGTCAGTGGAGGAAGCGTGACGTGGCTGCTATTGCTACAAAGAAATAAATCACACATAGAATTGCAAGTGTCTCAGGAGAAACTTATGCGTAATGGTTCATATCACAATTGCTTATGCTGCTCATGGCATTTATAGTACAGCTTATAAATGGCTTAGTCACCACCGGGAGAGTTCTTTTCTTTTGAGCTTGTTGATCTTGCTTGTACATTTTTAATGGCTGTTGGCACAATTCTTGGAACAAAACTGCAGGGATTTATGTAGATTTCCAAATAGATTAGCCTTTTGGGACTCCAGCACCAATATGTGTGGGATTTCAATCTATTTTCATCTGAAATGAATTAGCAGATTTTAAAAAATGGATAGCAAATTGCTTTGCTAATCATCAGTCAGGGTTGATTGATGAACTGTAGTCAGCACCTTTAAAACTACATAAAGGCCTAATTCTCAGAATTTATTAATTCTACGTGCGTCTCAGTCAGATCCTGGAATGTACATTTTTAGAATACTCTCTTGTTAAAAAAACATTCTGTCAATAAACAGATTACTTTTAATATGTGTGAAGAATTAATGTTGGAGCTTTTAGTTTTGTTCTGACAGTGGTCCTCTTCACTAAAAGCAAGATACACCACAGTGCAACAGGGCTGCATAAAACATATAGATCACTTCAGCTTTATTTTGAGGGCTAAAGAACAGAATTAAGTCTCTATGGTGGTGCCCTGCACAGGGATAAATTAATTCCAAATGGAGCAATATTGTTTTGAATGGGTGCGTCTACACAAGACACTAAATGTGCAGTAGAGTAATTCTACTAGAATTAGTCTACTGCAAATAAGTATTATTAAAAAGGCATGCGCTGGTGCTACCGTGCAGTAGCACTGGTTGCTGTGCATTGAGTTAGTACTTGCAATAACAGGTACTAAACCATGCAAAGTAATTATGGTAATGCACATGTCAACGTGCCCAAACTGGACAAACTGATTAATAATGAGCACAAACTGATTAAGTCAACTATTGTCTCATACCATTTCAAGAGACATGTTTTGATGTGCCAAAGCTTCAGCTGAAGATTTTCAAACTTATTTTTAAACTTTATCATTCTAATTTTCAGATTTTCAAACTTAAATCAGTACCTCTTTCTGACGTTCCTCACTGTTAACATGATTTTTATATTAAAAGCTACAAAATTCTAAAAATGGTGGTTTGAATAAAAGATCTATTTACAATTTTAACTTTATTTTAAGCCAGGTGGGGGTTTTGGCTAGGATTATGGACAATTGATACCAGGTCCTCCTTGCCAAAGAGGTGATATTTAGGGTTATCTCTGTGTTGCAGCTCAATATGCATGAGTTGTGTAGTGTTTTGTGTGTGCCGTGCATTTTAGTCTGAGATTTTTGTTAACACAATGGATCCTGTGACTAATTTGGCCAGTTCTAGAGGAAAGGATTAAACTTAGATTTCTTATCAGTGTTTTGAGTCCTAGTAACAAGTTACATTGAATTAATGGTCTGTGTTATGCAGATCGGACTAGATGAGTGTAATGGTCCATTCTGTCCTGTACAAAAATAAATGAATCATACTGTAGTATGATTCTAGCTTAACTTCAAAGTGTTCACCAATGTATATGTGCCTTTGAATGCAATTGTATTCCCACATGATCATTTCAACAAATGAGAAAAGTTATAATAATGTTTTTGATTAATGGCCCAGTGGTGCCAAAAGGTCAGTGCAGTATGGCCAACTCTTGTTAATTCATTTCCAGTATCACAGTATTTGTCATTTGCTTTTAAGCCTCAAATCTAGGAGTTAAGAAATCTCAATTTATTTCTGAAGAGGAGGAAATTTCTAGCCCTCCCTACTACAGAGGAAAGCTTGAAAATGGGACTGCTGATGGCTCAAAAACCAGAAATCAAATAGAAAGAACCTAACATTTTATTACTTTGTAAAATCCTGATTTAAAAGCCAATTTCAGGCCTTTTTAGGGTTCCATCCTAATTTGATGCATCTGGGGCCCATGCCACTATCTAGTCAGCTATGGCTCTCAGACTAGATTTTTTTTTTAAATACCCTTTTACGGAATTTACAACCAATAGGAACACTTCCGTGAAATCCAACAGGAAGGAGGCCTTTCAGAAAACAAATGAACAGTCCCCAGGGGTTTCTGTAATGCAGGCCAGCACCGCTCTGCAAGACCTGAAAGCCCTGGCCAGTACTGCCTCTGTGCTGGGTCTGGCACTGCAACTGAGAAGCATGTCTGACTTGTTCCTGGTCAGGATAGACCAAAATCCATCACACCTGTGTTAGAGCTGTCCTAAGCTCCTTAGTGCTGCTCTCAAGTGTGCTATTTGGCGTACACGCACAGCAGTCCTAAGGAAGGTACATTGCTTTATTTGGGGGTTTGGAGCTCTGGGTGGTAGAGCCCCTTTCACAGTGATGGTCCAGACTGCAACCCAAGGGCAGAGGAGACATACTCAGCTGACTGCTTGTTTTGGACAATCTATTTTGATCGTCCAAACTAAAAGAAATGCAGAAAATGAAACATGCTTCACAAAGAAAGACGGGTCCACTCCAGTGGCTCAGATGTTCTCTCTCAGAATGATTCCAGCTGTTGTTAGTTGTAAAAATAAGGGCATGTTTTATTCTAATTTGACATCACTCTTGAGCTAAAACTGTTGCTTTTGGGAAAATTTATCTCAGCACAGGATTATGTAAACAGTACAGGAGCACATTATGTCAGAGAGGCACTGGCCTGCTTGGAGGGTGAATATGGGGTCACACTGGCAAGAGCCAATTGAAACTCCTACCCCCTACATAGCCTGCCTGGGTCACCACCCCTGGCCTGAGGGGGAGACAGTGACTTCCATGTGATTGTTACTTCCCACCAGGTGGATGAAAATTGGACCAAATGAGGGTTCCTGATGCAGTAGTCAGGGGTCTGAGCTGGCCTAAGGGGTGAAGAAATCTCTGTTTTGCAAAGGGAGAAGCAGGCAGATGACTGTGATGCTGAATCAAACAACGTTCTTCCCTCTGTTGCTGCTGGGGCCGTGTAGCTATATACCACCCCTTACAAAGGACCAGACATTCAGTCTTGATGCTGCCCTTTTGTGCCCCATTGCCTGTTTATGCCTGTGTAGTAATGAAAGCGTACGTCTCCATAGTTAGCCATGTGAGTGAGCCAACCCAGATACCAGTACGTCACCACTTCTCTTATCAAAATTTAGCAGCCAATTTCCATGACTATTTTTATCCTTCATTGTGTGCAAATGTGCAAGCATTGTAATAACACCAGGTATTTTAAATGGCACTTGGAAGGCTGCATATCTTGCCTTGGTTTTGTTCTTAGGCCCCCTAATGTTCTTTTCTGATTGAAATGTACCTGCTTGCCTCAAAAAAAAAAAAAAATCACAGCAGATTTTTAAAAAGTATTTTTAGAATTGAATAGTTGCATTTGTTGGAGAAAGGTGCTTAGATAGTGGATTAGGAATTTGCAGGATCAAAGTAACAGTTAAGATGCCAGGGAACTCATCCAAATCACAACATAGCTGATATTCTTGAGGGAATATTGGGCTGTTTTGTACATAGTACTTTTTTCTTCCAAGTAACTTAAAACCTAAAGTATTGAAATGATCACAAATAATGGGCTGAATCTTACAAGGTACTGAGTGCACATAAGTTAGGGTGAGCCAGATGCTCATTTACGCTGTGGCTCCTTTATACTACGGTAAAGGGGTAAAAGCCCTTAAAATGTCAGTAAATAAAATTTAGGGCCCCTTTTAGTATATTAGAGTGGTGGAGTATAGCCTTAGTATAACTGTTAATTTGGTCCATGTTCTCCGTGTGTTTAGCACTTTTCCAGAGATCTCTGCCTTCTCTGGCATCATGCCCATATAGAAGCATCTGGCAGGAAGGCTAACTTATTTTGTACAGTTTAAATAGAGGAGTGCTCTTGGTCAGAAAGAATATTTACAAATGAAATGGAGGGCCTGTTCCAGCAAAGCCTTTTCTGTGCAAGTAGTCTTGCTGAAGTCAGCAGCACTATTCCCATGAGCAAGGGGCTGCAAAACTGGCATGACAGTTTGGCTCCACAGAAGTCTATGACAAAGCTCCTGGTGACTATGAAGGAGGCCTAAGTGATAAACATGTGTTGTCTACTGGCTGTAGATAAAGCACAGCAGTGCAAGCTTCCCCTGTTTTGGACTTACCGGCTGTAGGCAAGGAGTGTGCTTCAGTCTTCCTGTCCATTCGGTCCTTAGGCTCGGTTCTGAAGCTGCTACTCAGCATATCAGTAGTCTGTTAAGGAGGCTAAAAATGGCAAATCATTTCATAAAAGTCACCAAACAGTCATCAGGCAGTAGTGATCTCTATATGGGAAGGGTTCTACTGAAGAATATTCTCTGCCCTCCCTCCCCAAGGAGGCCTAAAGGGAAGGTGCATCTTGTACCACAAAGTTGTGTAATTAAAAATAACTGAAATAATTGTAATAAAAGTTGACCAAATCTAACCAAATTTATGTTAATTTTTTTCTATTATTTTATCCCATTTCGGGGGGGGAGAGGACAGGGTATCTTGTACACAGACACATCATATACATAAAAAATGCATACCCTTTTCTGAAGATCTTTTAATCCTTCATAAATTAATTCATAAATTGGATATCTTTGTTTAATTGCTTTAGTTCTAGGCATGAGTTTTCTACCATAAGCTCTGATCCTGCTACTCCTAAAGTCATTGGAGCTTTGTGATGGATTTCAGTGAAAGCAAAATCAGGCTCTCTGTGGGTGCACCTACATGTGCAATTAAAGTGACACAATAAACTCCACATGCACCCAAGACAGCAGCAATTTGAACCAGGGTGGAACAGGCCCCCAGGCTGACCGGGTGCAATTTATACCTGTGGTCAGCATCTACATGTTTCAGCACAGTAAATTACTCTGCCATAAGATAGTACTGTCTGCAACAGTACTATCTTAAGGAGGAGTTTACTGCATCCTAATACCAGTGCATGTGTAAACATTGATGCTTTACTGCAGAGCTAATTAGTCTATTCTCCAGTAAAGGACATATGTAAATACACCCACTGGGCACATCTATACATGCATTTTAAGGTGAAGCAATAAATTCAGGCACACATTGTGCTCAAGTGTATTGCTCCTGGGCATGCCATTTGAGCGTGTACCCAGGATTGCAGCATGTTGAGCCAGGTTGGAGCAGCCCCAGCCAGCAGGGGGCTCAGGGGACCAGCCCAGGCTGCTCCAAACCAGCTCAGCATGCTGTGGAGGAGGTGGCTGAGGCATGAGGGTGCTCCACTGCTGGGCTAGCTGGCAAGGCAGCCCCCAATACTAACACACCTTTGTCCCCCATCCAGCCAGGTCAGCATCTACATGTGTGTTGCTGTGTATGAAAAAACTCTGCAGCAGGACAGTACTTGTATTAACAAGTACTAACCTGCTGTGGAATTTATTATTTTCCTGAGGCCTAATAGGGCCACATGTATAAATGCCATATGTTTACTATGGAGCTAATTAGGCAATTCCACAGTAAACATCTCCTGTAGATGTACCCTGTGAGTTCTTAAATAAATCCCATATTTCAAAATTAATATAACATGTAGGGTATTTATTGGGTAAGAAAAGGACAATCTAGGGAAAATCAAGGAAGCCTGATGGCTTGGAAGTCTTCAGCATTTGGGAATATCTGAAGGTGTGTGTGTTATTTTTTAAAAGTATAATTCCTGTCTTTCTAGACATACAACTAGTATAGTCAGGAACTTTGCCAGTCTTTCCCTCTGGTGCCTCCAAACTTACTTAGGGTAAATCCAAATGTAGGTTAAAACTTTCAAAAATGACATTCAGTGGGGGCACAGAAACCTTCAATTTTGAAAATGAGGCATAACTTAGGTACTTCTGAAATTTTTACCAGCTGTAAGCATACTCTTTACCTTTCCAACAGTAATCTACATAAATAAAGTAAAATGTAAACAAGTAGGTTAAGATTTACTTTGCTGGATATAAATTCTCACTCTGCCATTTCTGTGTGGCTAACTTAGAGAGAGGTGTCATGCATGGCAAAGGCTGAAAACAGAGAATTTGGGGGTAAGGTGTTAACAGGCATAGAAAGCTGGAAAGATCATTCTGATCGCCCTGTGCCACTAACCTGGAAGCAAGGGATCCAGCACAGAAAAGGCTGAGAGGAGGGGGAGCAGATTATTAAACAGAAAATGCAATTTCAAGGGGAATAAAATTATTAACAAATTCAGGTTGAATGTGACAGATATTTTCAATGGAGAAAGAATCAGAGAAGTCAGAACATTTCAACATTGTATGTTTTGATTTTTCGTTTCAAAATGATATTTTTATTTTGAAAACTAGTAACATTTTAAAAAGGGCATTTTTCCAAATATATTCATGTCACTGCAGATAGCTGAAATTTTTTTTTTCAAATCAACCTGAAATGAAACATTATGGTTTGTTTTTTGGGGGGAGCCCCGGGGGGTCTGTTATTTTTTTAATATTTTTTTATTCCGTTTAGCCACTGAACCAAAAAATATCAATTATTTGCTTGGGTCTATTGAGAGCCACTTCACATACTTGATACATTTGATTGAGGTATAAATTTGGGTTAGTTCTAAATCAACTTTCTTGATTTCTTTAAAAAAACATAAATGTGTGTGTTTATTGAAGGCTATTTTTAACTTAATCTTTAGCTATACTCCACAAGTCTGTACATCTGTTATAGAAAGCCAAGCTCAATTTTAACAACAAAATATCTAAAAGTGGAAAGAAATTATCAGACTCTGCTAACAAACAGTAGCCAATTTTTATTTTGGTAAAGAATTTTCTATTGTCTAGATGCTTTCTTTAAATCTCATCACATTTCATTTTGTATTATTTATTAGATTTATATGCTGTCCTTCCAAACAAAGACTCAGGACAGCCTACTGTAGGACCATGATGTTTTGAAGAAGTAAAAGGAAACTGCTGCAGTATTTTTCTTGGTTTTAAACATTCTATTTATCTCTGTTTACAACAATTAACTTTTGTGATTATTTTTATTAGGACTATAGATTTCTATAGGGGAAATGCATAGAATTTCATGAATACACGAAAAAACAATTAGGTTCAACAATCTTGTTAGTTCCGTACTGCTGGATACACATCAACAGATGAATAAGTTAACATTGGGTGAGTTAGAATGATATCTTTAAAGATAGATAATATTAATTTGGAATAAATTAGGGTATTAGTCATGCATCTCTCTCAACAAATGGTAACTAGTCTTAATTTTGTGCCATAATTGAATGATACCCTCGTTTTGTGACCCTTTTCTTTGTTTCAGTGCAAATATGTA